ATGAAATTCACCATTGAAACAACCCGTGTGGAACAAAAGCGAGTAAATGAATGGTTATTTTGCTGTTAATCGCACGACATGTTAACACTCAAATAACAACAAATCTACAATGAATAATAACGACAAGCATGCAACCAGTATACAACAAACGCGCTTGTCATAAAGTGACGAGTAATTTTGTCGTCTTCCTGCTGTTAAACGGACCACTTTCACATCGAATATACGACAAATTTATTTCAAGCTTGTGTGTGGCTTCACAAAAAATGCGCAAGCCAGCCTTGGAGGCAAGCAGGGATCGAACCACCGCATCGTCGGTTTACTGTCGAGCGCTGTAGCCACTCGGCCGAAGTGACTACACCTGACCGGGCCGCGAGCTGGCCCCGAGGGGTCCTTCACTATCAATTACACCGTACACCGATTTTTCTGTTTTTCTTGATTTTTTGTGATTTTTTCTGACTTTTCGTTGATTTTTGCTGATTTTTTGTCGTTTTTTAATGAATTTACATGATTTTTTAATGTTTTTTTCGTGATTTTTTTCTAAGGGTGTACACTGATTTTTTGGGGTGAAGGACCCCTCGGCTGGCCCTCTACCGCAGCACGTGCCGAACTACCAAATAACCACAAATTTACTGCAAGCTGCAGTGCGCGCAGCCAGCCTCAGAGCCTGAAGTGAATTGTACCCCCTGTCGACCCCTAGGTACAAATATACTAGGCTATTTGTACCCGGGGGTACAACTATACTAGGCGATTTGTACCCGGGGGTACAAATCTCCCAGGTGATTTGTACCCCTGGGTACAAATCGCCTTGGGATATTTGTACCTGGGGGTCGACAGGGGGGTACAAATGCCCCAGGTGATTTGTACCCCTCTCTGGCAAGGGGGTACAGATGCCCCAGGGGATTTGTACCGGGGGGTGGTATACGGGTACAAATCGGCTTCTACACCTGTTGCGCTGACGAAGGGCTTGCCAGTCGACGACCTGACGACGATAGCTCTACCTCTGAAAACATGATTATGGGCAACTCTAGGAAAACTGTTACAACGTCCCCCTGCGTATCACGATCTCTTAGTCACGTTACACCCAGAAAATATGAAAATAGTTTCCTTAACACAAAGGAAGTCCCTTAAAATTGTCCTTTAGTCAAGGAAATTCTGAAAAACATAGCGACATTTCCCTCCATTTAATGCAAAACCTTTAACGAGCCTCTAACTCAAGGAATTTTTGGCGTGAAAGAAAGACAATTTCTTTGAAGAAAGGGAAAAATTTCATTATACTGGGTGCATCTCAAGACGCGACCGCAGTACATACCTCTGAGTACCTCGCTCGCTACGCACATAACAGCTGTACCAGGTGGCTGATTGACCCCGCGCACTTCTGTAGTTAGACTGTACCGCACGCAGAAGTGCGGGCGGGCTTGCCTATCACCCCTGTCCACGGCGCCTTACGGGCCTGTTTAGGCAACCCGCCCGCACTCCTGCGTGCGGTACAGTCTAACTACAGAAGTGCACGGGGTTCATTAGCCACCTGGTATGTAGCCCCTCCCCCCCCCCTCCCCCTCCCCGGCCGGTCGGTGTCGGGGGAATTTTTGTCGTCAGGCAGATTAGGTAAAAGAAAGGGGTTCGAAGAAAATGGGAATCGTCCCTCCGGATTGCCCGCAAGTCCGCAAGTACGTACAGCGACGCCCCCCTCCCCCCCTCCCCCCGCCGCGTTGTGAGCGTTGTCTCTCTCGCACCTCACCATCCCCACACCGCGCACCGCTCGGCCGGCTTCGGGCCTCGGCCTCGGCTCGGTTCGGCGTCCCGCGCGCTCCGCGCAGTCGCAGTGCAATTCAGTCAGTACTGTGGCCGGCGCCCGCCGCCGCCGGCCGCGCCCGCGCCGCGGCGAGCACGTCACGTTTACGTTACGTAATACACGTCACACTCCGCGCACGGCGGCAGGCTAAAAGCAGCTGATTCTCCGTGTTGTGAGACGCGCTGCGCCGACGCCGGTCGGCCTGTAACCTATGCGTGTTTCTGACAGTGAACTGGACCGGCGTCATGCCGTATGTACCCGCTCGGCAGTGCGTGTGCCGTTAGTGACGGCTGTGATGAGTGCAGTGACTGACAGCAGCATGGAGGGCAGTGACCAGGAGGATGACCCGGCTCCCTGCGAGCCGGTGGACAAGGTGCGCGCCGCGCCCCTCCGCCAAGTAAAACTGGAGACGCCCAAGGACGAACCGGAAACGGGGGTCCAGGACCCAGAGCAGTGCGTGGAGACACACACGGTCTGGATCAAAGAAGAGACGGAGCTAGGCGAGGAGCAGGAGCTGACGGACCTCTTGTCAGAGACGGCCGTCGAGGGCGCCGAACTGCTTCCAGAGGTGGCCGACGAAGGCAGTTGTGACATAGGAGATGCCAGCATGGACTGTCAGATGAACGGACTCGCCAAGCAGCCCTTTCCGGACAACGCCAACGACTTCGGCGCCGTGTACAAGCCCGTATCCGAGGACGATAACTCTGTCTTCCGCGCGCTGGCGGTGCGGTTGTTCGACGACGAGGAGCAGCACCGGGTGTTGCGACGTTCGGTGGTCAACCACGTCGTCAACAACTGGCCGACCTACAGCCCGCTGACCGCCTTCGCCGACCGGGACGCGTACCGCCGGCACATGGGACAGGACGGCGCCCGCGGCGGCGCGGCAGAGCTGCGCGCGGCCGGGGAGGCCTTCTACCGCACCGTGGCCGTCGTGCACGACGGCGTGCTCGAGGTGGCCGCCCAGATGGACGACCCCGACCCCATCGTCCTACGCAGGACGGGAGCGTCTCCTGCGGAGCACTACGACGCCTGCACCACCCGGCCGCCGGCCGGCTGGAAGGGCGGCGTGGACGACCTCTTGAAGCTCGACTCCCTGAAACAGGCGGAAGAGCGTAGGAAACGGTTAGAACTAGAAGCAGCTGCGCCGAAGTGGAAACGTTCCCCACCTGCTGGGAGAAGCAAGAAGCCCGCCCAGCGTGCACAGTCCGCGGCGGTGTCGCCCCAGGAAGGCGTCGTCAGCCTTGCGGCCTGCAACTTCCCCGAGACCGAACAGGCCGTATTAGACCCCAACTTCCCTTACCTCATCAAGCACGAACCGGCCTCCGAGCCCGTCGAGGCGAACCTCCCCGAGCCCGATCCACATGAAGTTGAAATCGCACGGCTGCTTCGAGCGCAACAGGTGCCCGGGACGCAGGAAGAGCTCGAGGGCGTGCTCGCCGCCATGAAGGGGACGGAGGACGACGAAGTGAACGAAGTGACTGGGACGCCGGCACAGCCCGCTCCAGATGAGCTAGGCGGCAACGCAGAGGAGGCTGGAAGCACGAGCAGAAAACGACTGGGAACTGCGGCGCAGCGTGAGCATGGGGTGAGGCAGGACCGCGATGGAGCTCGCCGAGGGCGCCTCAAACGGAAGGCGGAGGAACCGGCGCAGGCCGAGGAGGAAACACAAGCGACCGTGACGGCGATCCAGGTGGCATCGGATCCCAAAGCCTTTATCATCATCCAAAACGGGCCGGCCTCCGAACACCACGGGGCACAGCTGAACGTGCAACTGGTGAAAGCGAAAGTGGTGGCCGCGGCTCCGGTAGAGTCTGACGTGTTGTCAGAGGACAGCTGTGATAGTAGTTCCATCTTTGGAGGAGGAGTCAGTGATTCTAGGAGCAGCGGCTACCCGGAGCACCCCACCTTGCATGCCGACGAGTTCGGCGCCGTGTACAAGGCCGTGGGCAGGGACGACAGCTGCGTGTTCCGCGCGCTCGGGGAGGGGTTGTTTGGCGGCGAGGATCGCCGCCGGGTGGTGCGCCGCGGCGTGGTCAACCACATCGTCGACAACTGGACGACCTACGCCCCGTTGACCTGCTACCCCGACCAGGACGCGTACCGCCGGCACATGGAGGAGGACGGCGTCCCCGGCGGCCCTGCGGAGCTGCGCGCGGCCGCGGAGGCCTTCTACCGCACCGTGGGCGTCGTGCACGACGGCGTGCTCGAGGTGGTCGCCCATTTGAACGACCCCTACGCCGTCGTCCTGCGCCGGACGGGAGAGGCACCAGCCGAGCACTACGACGTCTGCACCACCCTTCCGCCGGCCGGCTGGAAGGGCGGCGTAGACGATCTCTTGAAGCTCGACTCCCTGAAACAGGCGGCAGATCGAAGGAAGCTGTTGGGACTAGAGGTTCTTGGGGGAAGCAGTAAACCATCAGCCGGGCCTCAGAAAAGAGTTGTGAGACAGAAGGAAGAACCGGAAGGGGTATTCGGCATAGACCCCAATCTCCTTGTTGGGGTCGTTGAAACTCCGGAAGAGGGCGCTGCTCGGCTGTTCAGAGAGCGCCGAACCAAACGTCGCCTCGCGTGGCGCTTTCGCGAAGGGGAGGAGACTCGCGAAGAGTACGAGGCCAGAAGGGCAAAGCTCTTAAAAGGCGAGTTGAAGAAGATGCGCGAACGGGGGAAGAATGAAACTCTGGAACAGCGCGCGGCTAGGCTGAAGAAACAATGCGAATATGCGCGTCGTAAACGGGGCGCACTGAAGGGACTTGCAGAGCAGGACGATTCCGACATCGAGTCAAGTAGTAGGGAAGAGTCTCAGTCTCTGCGCGAGGCTGGCCTGGAGGAGCGACACGCACTGAATGGGCTTCCAGAGCACGACGATCATGACATCGAGGCAAGTCGCAGGGAAGAGGCTGAGCCAGAGAAGGAACACGACGCTGCGCAGCCTCGGCGACAAGTGTGTGCAGAGCAGGACATCAGTGAGCGCGAAAGGAGGAAAAGAGAGAGGGCGGTACAGGAATGGGCAAAGATAAAGAGCCAGTCTCTGGAGGAGCGCGAGCGCAGGCTGAGGAGGAAACGCGAAAATGCACGCCGTCGCCGGCTCGAACGGAAAGGGGACACTCCAGAACAGGCAGAGGCGCTGCTGGCGACGGAACGCGCGCGCGCACGCAGATCGCGGGAGACTAGGCAGAGGGAGAAGCTAGAGCTACTGCGGCGTTTACGTGAAAAAGAGACGGCGGAGGAGCGCGCGGCGAGACTGGCGGCCGACATCGAAGAGACAGGGAGCTCGAGAGGATCGGAAAGTCGGTGCGGAAGCACACTTTCAGGGCAGGACGATTCCGACAGCGACGCGAGTCTTGGGGAAGAAGCTCAGGATGCTTCGATGAAGAGAAGACGAGGAAAGGAGATGACGGAAACACCGGAAGAGCGAGAGGCTAAGCTCAAGAAGAAACGCGAATATGCACGTCAAAGAGGAAGGGATGAAACACCGGAAGAGCGAGAGGCGAAGCTCAAGAAGAAGCGCGAATACGCACGTCGGCGGCGGAACGCGGTGAAGAGACTTGCAGAGCAGGACGATTCCGACAACGACGCTAGTCTTAGGGAAGAAGCTCAGGCACGGCGCGAGGCCGTGCTAAAGAAGCAACGCGCCTATGCGCGCCGCAAGCGACACGAACAGAGTGGATGCGAGTGTGCAGGCCGGGACGACGACTGCAGGCGGATGAAGAGAACGAAGTCTCCGGACTTCGGAGAGGGGAGCTCGAGAGGATCAGAGGCCAGTCTGTGCGGGAGCACACTGACTCAAGAAGAACACGAGGCCACAAGGAAAACGATTCTTGAACAAGGACGGCAGCGCCGCCTTGAAAGGGAGTCCAATGAAACTCCGGAGGAGCGAGAGACCAGGCTGACGAGGAAACGCGAAGCTGCACGTCGTCAGCGGCACGCGCTGAAGAGACTTGCGGAGCAGGACGATTCCGACATCGACGCAAGTCTTAGGGAAGAAGCGCAGGCACGGCGCGAGGCCGTGCTGAAGAAGCAGCGCGACGCCACGCGCCGTCAGCGACACGCGCTGAATGGATGTGCGTGTGCAGGGCAAGACGACGAGTGTGGGCGGAGAATAAGGACGAAGTCTCCGGAACAGGCTGAGGAGCAAATCGACAGGAGATTTAAGGAAACCGTCGGAGAGGATTGGGCAAGAGTAAGAAGCCAACCTCCGGAACTGCGAGAGCGCAGGCTGTGGAAGAAACGCAACGCCGAACGCCGCCGGCGGCACGCGGCTCTAGGATGCGAATGTGCAGAGCTAGACGACAGCGACGAGGAGTGCACGAGGATGAGCAGGGATCCTATCGGACCTGTATCCATGAGAAGAGTGAACGAGACTGAACAGCAGCGCGAGCGCAGGCTGAGGAAGAAACGCGAAAGTGCACGCCGTCGGCGACTCGAACTGAAAGGGAGCACGCCGGAGCAGGCGGAGGCCCTGCTGACGAAGGGACGCGAACGCGCGCGCAAGGGACGGGAGACTATGCGGAGAGAGAGGGAGGCACTACTGCGGCTGCGGGGTTTGCACGGAGAAAAGACTGCGGAGGAGCGCGCGGCGAGACTGGAGGCGGACATCGGAGACGGGAGCTCGAGGGGATCGGAAAGTCTGTGCGGAAGCACATTGAGCAACGAATGAGACAACCGAGACTACATGGAGCCGGCCTCAAAGCGGGAGCACAGCACAGGTGAGTGCCGAGCGAGACTCCTGCACTTCGCAAAGTCTTTGGCGACCAAAAGTTGTGGTTTTCAGAATGATCTCCTGCAACCATGAACCGTCTGCCCGGTGAGGAAGTCGACGCCCCGTACCCTACGGAGTGGGTCCCTGTCACCTGCTGAGGACAAACTACTTAAAGCAGAAACCCGCAAGTGCAAGTGGCCTGTAAGTAGTGGATTTGGTTTTGGCGCGCTTCCCTCCAGCCGCACTAAGAGCACATGTTCGTTGTATTGATTCCCCCCCTTTTTCTTCTTCTTTTTTTCTATTCAGTTGACCAGTACCATCAGAATATGGCGGCCGTCTCCTTGAAAGAGTGACTATCCACTCGTCCGGGATCGAGGGGCCGCGGGAGTCGATGGACTTGATGGTGAACCTGACTTTGATGGCGGAGGAGGGGTGAGGATACATCCTGCTCTTCTGACTTTGGCGCTTCTATGGGGAGAGAGGGGGAGGGATTTATGTGATGCCTGAATATAGGCAACATGCGTGGAGGCTACCCTCTCAACGTCACCCCTCCCCCCTTCCCTCACGTTAGTCGGGCTTGCAACCGCCCCTGTCTCTAAAATGTATAAGTGTGTACTACTATCGTAATGCTACCACGACCCTGCATGACAGTTACATTAAATTTCTAATTTTGTTTTTCCAGTGGCTGATGCTGAACCGGATGCAAAATGCACCCCCAGTGTGCTGCAAGCTGACATCGACCTCGGCTAAGGCCTTATCGGACACAACCGGCTGCTAGTCGTCGTATACACACAAGGAGACCATCCCCACCCTTAAAATTCAGCCCTTTCTTCTGTGGCAAAACAAATGTACCTCGATTATGTGATTATTCCTGTGCAGATTTTATTTTTGTACATTATATCTATAGTTTTGTAAAACACGTCTCCTGCTGCTACCTTCCCAAATCCCTTCCCAGTCTCTAGACTATACTACAGTATTGACTCATGAGAACAGTATGGACTTCATAAGGCGCCGTGGACAGGGGCGATAGGCAGGCAAGCCTATACAGCATAAATACAGAAGTGCGCGGCGTGAAACATCCACCTGGTACATTGCTTCGTGTTACAGGCCGAGCGTATCGGTAACCCTTTCGCGTGTAGGAATGCTGTACAACGTAGCGGGGTTAAATCAGCCACCTGTTATACTTAATGTCAAACTCTCCCCAGTAAAAGCTGGACGTTCTAACGGTGGGAAAATCAGTCGCTTCTAAAGTTTGCGGTGTGCGGTGCTCGCTTGCAACGTCGCATCATAGCGCTTCGAGCGAGCGACCCGAGCGGGACAGCCCCC